GAGTGCATGTACTGGGAGAAGCCGCCGAGCCTTTTTGACTCGGGAGGATTGCAAGGTGGAGCAAAAGCCTCGGGTGGGAATGGTTTACTTTGCCCCCCCCCGCCCTCGACCAGGGGGAAGGGAGCAGCTGCGGGCACCCTGGTGGGGCACCCGGTGGTGGGATCGTGCCCTGAAGCCCTAAGGATGGGGCCCCGAAGGAGACTAGGGTGGCAGGTTGCTGCGCCTTAAGGTGGGTTTTGCTCTCCACACCGTTGCTAGGAGTGGAGAAGGAAGCTGTGGTGGGGATCTGTCACAGACAGGCTTGCTGTTCACTTGTGATGAGAGGATTCATGAAAATAAGGTCCGAGAAGCCGCTCAACCTGTGGTCTCCTTCCAAAGGTGGACACGTTTCTTCTGGAATCCGGGCAGGCCAGGTTCAGGTGCGCCCTCCTGCTCAAACCCTTTCCTGCTTTCCCTCTGCAGGAAAGAGCAGGCCGGTTTCCCGCCTGGGCTGGAATACTTTCACAAATGACAGGTTTTCATTACATCGCTTTAGAAACAGTGAAACTGGGATTATAACCAGTTTGGTCACGTTTCAAAGTAAAAGCTGCTGATTATTCTTATGAATGCAACGGAGAGGCTGTGGCCTTGCACAGGGCTGTATTTGTGGGTGGGTGGGCGTTGTGCACATGAGAGAGATGCTAGTATCCTTGTCCCTCTCAAAAGGAAAGTCGCGCCAAAACCTTGAGGAAGGTTGGGTGTTTGACCAGACAAGTGTTCTTCATTTTTATGGCAACCATTTTGATTCTTGTAGTAATTACAGCCACATCTTCTATTATAAAACAGCCACTGATTGCTTAAACTATACTGAACTATTGTATTGGGGCCCTTTACATGGAGCAGAATTCTTCCTAAAGGAGGGCACACTCCTGCAGCCCACAGCTTGTGTCGAACCCGGCTCCTGGGGCAGAAGAGCCGAAATGAAACAAAGGTGGTAAATGTCACTCATGTCTTAAGAACTGCGGATTTGCAGCCGCTTCTCTCCTATGCATCTAGCGAGCCGACACAGCAGTGTGCTTGAAAACCACCTATGGGCTAAGTAGACCACAAATTGAGCGTGAGTGAAAAAAGCTAAAGCAAGTGTAGGCTGCATGAGGAGAAAGAAGTGTTTAAGAAACAGGTCAGCAATATGTCTAGAGTGGCCGGGCTGGTAACGTATCTGGAAACCAAGCCTTTGGGGAATAGTGGAGGATGCTGGGGTCTGTTTAAACTGGAGTACCAAAGACTGAGAGGAAGATGATACCTTTATCTTTGTGAGCGAGGGGGGGCTGTCACATTGAAGATGGCACATCCCTTGCTTTCTGAGCCTTTAGTGCAGTGGAGGCAAACCTTTTTTTGGATGCCCAAAATGAAGGGGTGGGGAAGAAACCAGTGGCTGCCGTGCCGCCCGGAAGACCAGAACCGGAACAGGAAGTGGCAGATTCCTGGGGAATCATGGGGACATACAGGAAGTTAAAGGGGGAATCATGGGGACGGACAGGAAGTTAAAGGACCCAGAACAGGTATAGAAAGGGGGAATCCCAGCTGCAGCCACTTCAAAAGGTTTGTTTCCTCAAGGGTCGGTGGGCCGCTCACTTGCGTGCCAGAAGAAAGGGCTTCGTGTGCCGGATGTGGCACGCATGCCATTGGTTCGCCATCACTGCTTTAGTGGGTGGGACCCAAACCACAAGATTTAAATTAACTCCTCTTTTTTTTTAAAAAAAATGGAAATTCAGACTAAACATTAGGAAGAACTTTGAGATGGTAAGAGCTCATCAGAGGGAGAAGGCCCCACCTCAGCATGTAGCCGACTGGTGGTTTTAAAGCAGAGCTTGGCCGTCCGCCCATCCGTCCGTGGGGGATGCATTGGCTGTAGATTCTTACCTTGGCAGAGGGTTGGACTAGACGACCGCTGGAGCGTAACCTGAAGGATTCTGTAGCTGCAACAAGCCCGGTCCTGTTTTGTCTGTGTTGAGGAAGGAAGGCTCATTCTGCTTAGGTTAGCCTGAAAGACGCACATAGGTGGCTTCCGTTTGCTGGTTTGTTTTCTGCTTGAGGAATCAAAGAATGGAGCTCGTCACTGGTATTTACTTGGGGTGGGAGTTAAGGTATGAGAAAGTGCATTGATGTGCCCTTCTTTTCTGAAGGGGGAGGTGGTTTGTGTCATCTCAGTCCCCTTTTGATTTAAAAGAGGATTGTGTGTTTGAAAGGGTTGGGATGTGGCTTTAAGAATAACATTTTGCTTTAAACAAAATAGTGGGTGTATTTCTTTTCTCTCTCCTTTTTTTAGGAATTCAATTTTTTACTTCATTTCCCCCATACATCCTGCCACCCCCACCGCCCAGTTTTATCCCCCCAGTAACCCTGTGAGGGAAGCTGGTTTTTGTGCTTGCCTCGGCCTCCCTTAGTAGGGAGCTTCGCGGCCAAGGGAGGGCTTGAGCCCAGTCCTCCCTTGCCTGCCTGCTGTGCTGTTCCCAAGACCTTGTGGCAGGTGATGGAGTCGGTCTGAGAAACAGAAAAGGGGCGGATAAGAAAGGGACCACGCGGTTGTGCGGCAGAGGATTTGCCTCTGCAGAATGGCTTTGGGCTGCTTTTCAGCAAGTCTCATTGTAAATTATTCTCAGATAGTATCTCTACAAACTTTGCATTTTACAAATGTTATAAAAATATATATGCAATTATAAGTGGGAATGGTGCTAAAAATAGGAAAAACACAAGAATATGTATCGCCTCTTATTATAATGGACACTTGGGTGCAAAATAGCAATCATAATAAGCATTGATGTTTTCAGTATTTAAATTAAGGGCAAGGTGTTTGTTTTTAGTTATCATTTACAGTGGGGCCCCACTAGACGATTACCCCACAAAACGGGTAATCTGCAGGACAATGACTTTTTGCAATCGGTATAGCGATTCGCAAAACGGTTTTTCCTATGGGGGATTTCGCTGGACGATGATTTGGTCCATGCTTTGCAGACCATTTTTCGCAAGACGACGATTTTTACAGCTGATTGGCGCTTCCGTTTTTCGCAAGACGGGGATTTTACAGCTGATCGGCGCTTCTCAAAATGGCTTCCCTATGGGCGATTTTCACTGGACGATGATGATTTTTCCCCATTGGAATGCATTAAATGGATTTCATTCCAATGGGGAATCGCTTTTCGCCAGATGATGTTTTCGCAAAACAGAGATTTCAATGGAACGAATTATCATCGTCTTACGGGGCACCACTTGCATTTTGGTATTTAGCTATCTGCCATCCCTTACCTCATTGTTAGAGTTGTGGAAAGAGAGAGGCTTGCCATAGAGAACGGCAAGACTTGTTTTTTTCCCCCTTCCACTCTGGGCCTTTTGAGAGGGAAGTTGTAAGTAAGAGCACTGTGCCTCTGGTGTTCCTGTTTTGATCCATCCCATCTATTTTGTTGCAACGGTTAGGGTGAGCATCTCACAGACTGAGGGCTCTTGCAGTGGTTTGGTTTGTCGACGGATAACCAGAGTCAGCGATTCGGAGGTTCTCTTCTCCTGTTTAATGTGTAGACTGTTAAGGTGGTAAGCCAACCAGTTTCTTATTTCCAGGCAGTCACAATCCATGGAGGACAAGAATGGCTTAAGGGGGGAATGCTCCCCCCCACTCCACTTGTTTGCAAGGCCTGCCTCTCAGCAGATGCCCTGTTCATTGCGCTTCGGTTTCAAGATGCTTAGAGCAGAGGGACTGGAGCAGAATTTCAACCTGGTCGCTTCACAGTTGTTTTCCTCTTTACTATCTGTAGTAATCAAGACGACTATCAACTGGTTCGGAAGCTTGGCCGGGGAAAGTATAGTGAAGTCTTTGAGGCTATAAACATCACCAACAATGAGCGAGTGGTTGTGAAAATTCTTAAGGTGAGTTGTGGTCGGACGAAATCGAGATACCGAATTGTATCAAAGTCGGGCAGAGTTATTCCGATGAATGTTCTCGCCATCTCTTTTTAAAAAGTAAATCTGCAGTTGGAAGCCATTTGTGAAAGAACAGCATTTTCCTGTAGTATTGGAATAGCAGAGCTCATTCTGGCTGCATCTATTGGTAGGGCTTACTGAACAGGACAGTTGTAAAACCATGGCAACTGAATATTGCAAGGCCCGCAGGAACTGCCATCAAGTAACCTCTTGGTTTAAGAATTGCCCTGTAGGCGATCAGGTGGATAGATTTTGAAAAATAAGTTTTCTCCTGGTGTGGCAGATCCAGTCCGTGCTGTAGCTAGTGATGCTCAGACATCTTGACATTGTGTGAAGGACCAGCGGTTGAATATCATGGCATTTATATATAGGAGCGGGCAGTGTGAAGAAGAAGTGCGCCTTTTAGGTGGTGCTTCTGAGGCCTGTACCAGATCCCTAAGGGACAGTGTGCCTCTCAGAGAGCTTTTTCCTGGACCTTTGTGGTGCCTCAAACGGGAGGAATGGTAGGCTGTCAAGATTTTTGCCCTGAAGTCCCACTCCTCCCGAGTTAAGCTTAGCCAACGTTTGTTCTTCTCTGTCATGATGTGTATGGTAGCCATAAGCAACCCAATATTTCCATGCAGCCCAGTCTGTGGGATTCCATGCACCTTCCCTTCTCTGCCAGACTGCTTGGTTTCCATGGTAGCTGTGGAGGAAATGAAGGCTCTTCCTTAAAGTCTAAGGTCATGGAAACGCTGCAGGCTGATGAAGACAAGACTGATTGTGCTGCCTTCCCCCACCGCTGCTCTTGGTAGAAAACCTTTCTAACTGACCTCATAAGAGGAAAGTAACATGGATTTCCATATGATCTGTCCGGGGGGGGGTACTCCTTCCCTAAATCATGATCAGTGTCAGTACAAGCCATTAGCATCTCACCAGGTTTGTGAAAATGCTTTTCAGGCCAAGAATTTATTCACAAGGCTGGTGTATGTGGTTGTGATACTACCAGCCAGCCTTGCCTCCAAAACCCAGGTGCCCTGAATCTGGGGCTGCTTCTCCCCTTGATCTAATCTGCTGTTGACAGGGAACTGTTGGCTTCCCTAGCGGTTTTGGAGCTATGGGAATGGCTTGGGTATTGCTGTGAAGTTGAGCGCAGCCGCTTGCCCTGTTGCGAGGCTTTGCTGTAAAGTCTTCCATGAGGACAGAAACCCACAGTTGACCAGCTGTGGGTGTAGAAATGAGTCACGCCTTGTTCTTGGCTAACATTTATGTTGTGGAATTTAGGGAATAAACTGGAAAGCAAGAAAGTCACTGATTAAAATCTCATAACGGCGCTGAAGCCAAGTGTGATTTCTCTTCCTTGGTCCTCTTTTTTTTCTGTGACGAAGCTAGGGTTACTTTGATTTTGGAGCGGTTGTTAGGATTTCTAAGATCTGAAGATTTTCAACATTTGAGAAAAGTGCCATGCAAATATTATTATGGTCACTTAACTATGGGCAAAAGTGGTTCAGCTGGGTGGCCTTGGGCCAGCTGCCCAGTCGCAGAGCTGCCCCCAGAAGAAGGGAATGGGAAACCACTTGTGAGTCTTCTCCGCCTAGGGAAGCAAAATAGACAGTGTCATTCCAAAATGATAGACCACCAGCTATGTTCTTATTTGCCTTTTCCCCCCAGTCTAGAAGTGATATTTTGCAACTGATCTGTCGTAACTGTTTGCCCTATTGCTGGGCACAAAGGGATGCTGGAAGAAATCTCACTTCTAATCACCCTTATGTATTTAAGCCAGTGAAGAAAAAGAAGATAAAACGAGAGGTTAAGATTTTGGAGAACCTGCGAGGTGGAACCAACATCATTAAGCTGATTGACACTGTCAAGGATCCAGTGGTATGTGTCTCGGGTGGATGGGTCAGGAGAAATCCTCTGCTGTGGGGCAAGGGCTTGCTGTGATCAGAAGTAATTGTAAAGGGAGGGCAGCTCTGTCACATGAAAGTTTAATGATTCATGGGTGTATTGTAAATGAAAAAGTGAGGTTTGGATTTCATTGTATCAGGGATGAATGGTTCCAACACAATATTTCATCTTCTTGGTTTTTGAAAATCTATATTTTAATCCACCCTGAACTTTGGGATAGGTTCTGGAGTGGCAAGGAGGATCCAGTAAACGCGCGTGAGGATCCAGCTGTTTTCATGTTCCTTAACAGAGGCATTGAGCGTTCTGCTAGCAGAACCTCCTCGTTTTTGAATTACCCAGCGGGCTTTTTGGAGTAATTGGGGAGGGGACAGGTTTTGGAAAGATAAAATTAAAGGGTAGCCCTTTCTCTCTTCCAGTCAAAGACTCCAGCCCTGGTGTTTGAATACATCAACAATACAGATTTCAAGGTGAGTCTTCCTTTCTGTTTGCCAGAGAAGAAATGTGGCACAAGGTGAAACAAGGCTTTGTTCTGGTGGAAGGATGAAATGCGTAACCTTTTGGATGACTTGAGGGAAACTGGCTGCAAACAGCCACCTGCCTTTCCTTGTGGCTTTTGTGGTGCAGGCTCGGAGGGAGTGGCGTAAGTGGAGTTCTGCTGCATTTCCTAGCAACTCTGTCTCGACCGAGCAAAAAAGTGCCTTGCCGCTTTTAATTCCATGTTAATCCCTCTGCTGTTTACAACAGCGGTGTTGACGAGGATGGCAGTGTCTGGATTTTGAAAAGAGAAGTGACTTTTGGAGAAACATGCAGTGCTTGCAGTTTGGGGGGGGCGAGCAGTTCAGGAGCCACATATGCAAAATCAGAGAGGCTGGGAAACTTTGATTCCCGGTCGGAATCATTGAGTTGCACTGGTCAATGGGGTGTATAACCTTATAGAAAGACTAGTGGGTCTAGTCCAGTAGAGGGCAAAGAGACAGATAAACCTGCAAAAGTAAGAGGAACAAACCACTGCCCAGAATCATGGCAGGTGGGAATACTGAGGCTTGAAATTGCAGTATTGCACTGGCTATTTCGTGTTGTCTTCCCTGGCTAGAATTTTGAGGTTGATCTTAGCAGAGAAAGAAATGAGGGACACAGGATCAACCAGGACTTTATCCACTCTGACATTAACGAGGCAGATGCACATTCAGGTCACAACGAAGTGACAGCCTTTTTAGTTGCAGTAAATGACTGTGGCTTGAGGGAAGCCGTTGCACAACCAAATCCTGGTGTCTGATACAACAGTGGAGCATTGGGGAACAGTAATTGGGGGGATTTGCTATGGGATGTGAGATAAAGTATATCAAAGTGGGACGTTGTCCAGAACCCCCCCCCCCAAAAAAAATTCCTGTCTAATTTCAAACAAAGGCATTTATTAAACTGAAGTTGACATGGATTGTTAGGGGAATCGGGTCTCTTTAGGACTTTTGGAACTGACTGGAAAATGATCGAGGGAGCTCAGCTGCCTTGTGTATCATGGGATGAGGAAGCATACCGAGAAGCTCGAAAAGGGGGGCCAGACGCTTACTTCCTTTCAAAAGAAGGGTTAGCAGAACGAGGCAACTGAAGAAGGACACCATTCTGATCAAGCCAACATAACTGCTCAGTTAGGAGGAAAAGACTTGAATGAGCGAGTTTTCCGGCACATGTAGAGGATTCCACGTTCCTTCTAAGGGTATCTGAAAGAAGAAACCAGTTTTGAATCTGAAAAGAAGAACCCAAGAGGCTCTTGGAGGGCCGAAGTATGAAAAAATTATTGGAGGATGAACGCATTTTGTCAAGAAGCTGAACAAATACTTTACATGACTTTGAAATGGGGAGGTCCGTGTAGAAATGCCCATGCTTGCCCTTCCTCTAAAGGAAAGGGTCTGGAGCATGCATCCAATAGAGGTACTGAGGTGCAACTGAAAGGCTTCGGCAGGTTTGGATAGCAGAGAAGGCCTCCTTAATCTCAATAGAGCAGCAGTTGCCTTACCGCTTTTAATTCCATGTTAATCCTCGCCCGGGTCTTTCCCAACAAAAAGACCAGACCAGTTGTCACTAAATTCTGTTTCCTTATTTGAGTTCTAAAGTACAGCCAGCATAACATCCATGTTTAGAAACAGAGCTAGCAGGGACCTAGGACATTTAACTAAAAGGTTGGAAAGCATTAATTAAAGCTAAAATAAGAAAAAAATGGGGGGTGGGGTGGGGATATCCATGCCAAGGAGCAGCTGGTACAGTCCTTCCAAAAGGTGTTTTACCTCCCAATCCAGTAGAAACTGTATATCAGTAATAAAACATGTCAGTAGCATTAATACAAAGTGGGCACATCACTGCAAACCTGGTGGTTATAGACACAGGTTTAACATAAGTTATAAAACTACAAGAATTGCCAAGGTAGAGTTTGATTTTTATTATCAATATATCAGTGTCAAAGTTTTAAATATGATTAATACAAAATGGAGCGCTGTTTCAAACCCCAACGGTGATAAATACTGAATTAACAAGTGTTATACCGGTATACATTGACCTAGTCAATGTCCTGTCACTTCCCACGCAGGGAAAAAAATTAAGCCTCTTTCTGTTTTCCTTCTGTCCAGTAAATAACATCGGTTCATTCATCTGCTTTTAAAATACCTACAATGCGTCCAGAGCAGTTTACAAACCTGTGATGAAGTACAGATAGCAATCTAACTGGTGTATTTCCTCTGTGGAGAGTAAAAGGGTGTTGCTGGCAAACGAGAGCATCAGTTACCTTTGAAAAGGAGCAGACGAACGTGCTCCAGGTGTTGGGGTCCTTTTCCTGGAGTGGATATGGGGCAGAGTGGACCTCTGCAGTTGTGGGAAGGGATCCCCTGCTCATTTCTGTCTCTGCTGTGTGCCGTGTTTCCTACTGGGGAGCCGATGTTTTCATATTGGGAGTTGTCTGTAGACAAGGCTGGGCCTGCCGCCTAGCGTCTCGGGGATTGAATGGATGATATCCTTGCCTAGATCGTGGACAGTTGGAATGATTGTAGCTGAGGATTGGTGGATGGAGAGAGGCTGTGTTCTGCCGATTGGTTTGCCTTGTACTGGGGTAAAGGTAAAGGTTCCCCTTGAACTTTAGTCCAGTCGTGTCCGACTCTAGGGGGCGGTGCTCATCCCCGTTTCCAAGCCGTAGAGCCAGCAATTGTCCGAAGACCGTTTCCGTGGTCACTAGATACGAAACCGAGGTGGTACCTATTTATCAACTTGCATTTTTACATCCTTTTGAACGGCATTGTTGGCAGGAGCTCGGACAAGCAATGGGAGCTTACTCCATCGTGGGGATTCAATCTTACGACAGCGGGTCTTCTGACCTTGCAGCATAAGAGGCTTCTACGGTTTAACCTGCAACACCACCACATCCCTACTGGATTAAGCCCAAGTATTCCTACAGCCTGATCAGTCTCTTTTCCCCTTCCGTGAATGGGTCCTAAGAAATGATGGGCAGAAATCCATACTGCAAAGGCTTCAGCACCGTGTAGGTGTACTAGCGAGCAGGTTTAGCTACAGGCAGCAGATCCTGTGTGTTCCAAATGGAAGCCAAAATGGTGCAGATAAAAATGCAGTAGCCACTGGATTGCCATTATGAGATTGCTGGAGGCAACACGGACTTTCAGCTTTTCAAAATGATTGTTTATTATTTTCTCTTTTTTTTTTTTCCAAATTCATTTCAGCAACTGTACCAGATCCTGACGGACTTTGATATTCGGTTTTACATGTATGAATTGCTGAAGGTGAGTATCAGAGCAGCAGTCTGAAAGGTCACTCGAACTGCCTGGCATACTACACTTTCCCCATGGAAGAGTTGTGTAACAGAGGAAGATCAGATTTAATCAAGAGTCGCATCAAAGAAAAGCAGAAACTAATATTCAGCTGTTATTGCAGACTTAATGAACAGATTTATTAGTTTGTTAGAAATATTTGGCCAGAGGAGCCCCCAGAGTAGCTTACAGGTAAATGGGGGGTGGGGAGATGGTTTGTAGGTACACGGTAGCATGTGGTCCCTCTTCCATGTTTCTGGCCACTGGTGTCTCTTCCCCTCCAAAACTCACCCTCTGCTGTTGAAATCTAGCAGTGGAAGGGGTTGCTTAAGACAGAAAGATGCATTGTTTGCCTCAGTGTAACCAAAACAAGTGTTTCCTTTTCAGAGATTGAAATGGAATAACTTCCTTTGCAGAATTCCAGCAGGGAGGGGGCTCCTTGTGCTCTGCTCAAAAGGTGCAGCACAGAGGAGAAGAGACAGGGAAGGGGGAGAAACATAGAGGAAAGTCAGCCCCCCCCCTTTGGGCTTGCTCTGCTTTTCTTCTTGGAAGGAGTCGCTGCAAGGCAGCCAGATGTTTTCGATCTTCCCTCAACAGCTGGGACAGAAAGAGTTCAAAGTGGGGAGGAGCCAGACGTGGCCGATCTCTCGGCTGAGCCACAGAGGGGGGCGTGATTCCTGTTTCTCTTTTGGCCGCAGCCAGAGGGATTGGTTGCTCAATGCCAGTTGTGGAGAGGGCCAGATTCTGATGAGAGAAAGCTGGCTTCCGGGGAGGATGAATGCTTTCAATCTTTCTTTACATCCGGTGCTGACATCTGTCTGTCTCTGTCAGGCCTTGGATTACTGTCACAGCATGGGGATCATGCACAGAGATGTCAAGCCTCATAACGTCATGATAGACCACCAACAGAAAAAGGTAAGGTTCCTGAAACGCTGCCAGGGAGGCCCCTGCGTTTTGTAAAGTTTTTGGAGCAGATTTTAAAACCCCCGCCCTCTTGCGTCCCCTCACATTTTGGAGGTAGGTGACGATTGCAGGGTGCCTCACACGACGATTCTCAGAAGCGAAGCACTTCCTGGATGTGACTCTCGAGCTGCTGTCACGAGGGGTTTACGGATCTCCTCAAACTAGTGTCTCAATGTTCAGCTTCCTCTTCTGAAAACACAGGTGTTTCGCAAGCAATTTCCCCATGCGTTTCAAAGAAATATAACCAGGAATTAAGAGGTTTGGCTTCTTTTTCCCTGCCAAAGCCACTTACTTCCCTGCTTTGATTGGGGTTACCGCCTCTCGATGATTGTCTTGTAACACAGAAATAGGCAAAGATAACAGAAGGGATCACATAATCAGTAAACCAGATGAGAGTGGCGGGTGTGAAACAAGCATGATTCATAAAACAACAGTACAGAAAGTTAAAAAAAAAAACAATAACCAAGAACGCATTTGAAGTAGCAGAGAGTAGCAGAGCAGAATAAAGCCGCAAAAGCTGGCCAAAGTCAGGAAGGTTCGATCAGCTGCCTAAAAATGGACAAAAGAAAGACTGGCAGGTACCCGTTCCGAATGGGTCTTGGAGGCCAGGTGCCACCACTGAGAAGGACTTCTCTGTGTTCCCCCTTTACATCACTGTGCAAGAGCCAACATTTGCACTCAGATGGCAGCCCAGAAGGCTAGGCAAGTTTGAGGTACTCTGGACTGAAGCCGCTTGGTGGGTGGAAAGGAGAAGCAGAATCCTAGACGATGCAGCTGCAGAGAGTTGCAGCTCTGGGGCAGTGGGGATTAATTTGTGGATAGAAATGCTGGGGCTGGGAGATGGCCTGCCCCCCCTGTCCCCCGCCAAGCCCAGAGGAGCGAGAAGCCCCTTCCTGTTTCACTCCCACCCTTGCAGATACTCTCAGCCAGTGGCCAGGCCTTCCCTGGGCTCTCCCATATCTTCCTTTCCAACCCCTTTTGTCGCCTCTGGTCAGTTCTGGGAACAGATGAAGGCCAGGAAGTTTTCATTTCCTTCAGCCTTTGTCTCCCTCCCGCTGCTGTTTCTGCTTCTGCAGGCTGGGCGTTCTCTTTCGGGAGATGGGGAATGAATGGAAGAGAAGTTTCTTTGGTCTGGGCTTTCCTTTTCTGTTCTGTATTAAAGACTGTGGCTCATGTTGTTCTTGTCCTCTTGGGAGACTCTGGAGGGGGAAGCAGAAAGTGTGATGTTACGCCCGGGAACAACACTTGTGTCGTCTGTCAGGTTTCTGGCCCTTGCAGCTGTCCTTGTGCGGTGACGCCGAGGGGGCTGTTCCAGCTTAACTGTGCGCTCTTGGTCTCTCACAGGCACAGTCTCTCGCACGCAAGCAGCCAGTGCCTGTTTCCTGGCATTCAGTTAACTGTGCTGTTCGGTGTCTGATGATTTAGGCTTAGCAAAGAGCCCTCCCCCCCTCCCAGGAGGAGATGATGGGGGTCACCGCTGTGGGACTTACCTTACAAGGCAAAGCTGTGTTTGCGGAGGGTGGAAATGTGTCCAGCAGGTTTGTTAATTGGCTGCCTTGTATGTTCACAGTTGCGGCTCATAGACTGGGGTTTGGCAGAATTCTACCATCCAGCTCAGGAATACAATGTCCGCGTGGCTTCGAGGTACTTCAAAGGGCCGGAGCTCCTCGTGGACTACCAAGTAAGTCTCATCCTTTGGCTTCATCCTCAGCCGGAGGAACTAGGGGGTGTCCGTGTAGCCACGAGGTGGCTAGGTCCAAATGGCTGTGTACACGGTGGGGAGGGGCATCCCTCTTATACGTGCGAGCTGGAAGGGAGACAGCGCAGGGCAGGGCGGGGTGGAAAGAAGGAGCTCCTCTGGAGTAGTGGTTAAAAGGTGGGCCCATGACTGGAGAAAGCCCTGAATCCCACAGGGTGGCCTTGGGGCTTCCCAGCCTTTGAAAGTCTGGCTGGCCTCGTAAGGATTTTGTGGGCCACCTTAAGCTCCCTGGAGTAAAGATGTCATATAAAGATGACGAATTAAGGGAAGAGGGGATGGTCAGGTGAGGGTGGAGTTCTGGAGATGGGGCTCCAGATAAGAAACTCTTCATCGGGACCCCCTCGGCCAGGCCAGAATCGTGCATGCAAGGCACTGCCAAGCCCAATGCTGCTCCAGCGGATTGGGGCCTTTCTTGGACACAGGTAGCAGGAGAGAGAGAGGACCAAAAGTTTTCTGCATCCAGGAGGGGGCCGCGGGGGACGCAGGGAGTCTTCGTTTGTGCTAAAGCTTCCTCGTAAACCTCTTCCTCTCTAGAGACTGGAGCCCAATGCATCTCTCATAGCTGAGGCCAGTCGCTTCTAAAGAACTGGGCTTTTGAAATCTGTGTTGTAGCAATTTGAGGACAAGACAGATGCCTTTTCCTGACGCTTCTTTCTGCTTCTCCCTTTCCCCCAGATGTACGACTATAGCTTAGATATGTGGAGCTTAGGCTGTATGCTGGCCAGCATGATCTTCCGAAAAGAGCCGTTTTTCCACGGTCAAGACAATTACGACCAGGTGAGGAATGGATATCCAGCCGTTGAACAGGTCTTCCTTCTTCCCACAGGCAAAGACGGACCAGGTATTTAGCAAAGGTGGACAGGTCTGTGCTTTTGGACTACAACACCCAGAACTCTCTGCAGCTGCTCGGTAGGGCTGGGGGCTGCAATCCAAAGCAGGCATCTGCCCCTCTCTGCTACTTAGTCCTTGGTGGCAAAAGGAGGTCCCAGCTTGTAAGGTGTGGCTGAGGTCTCTCAAGGAAAAGTTGTTGTTGTTTAATCACTAGTCATGTCTGACTCTTTGTGACCTCATGGACCAGAACTCGCCAGGCCCTCCTATCTTCCACTGCCTCCCGGAGTTGGGTCAAGTTCATGTTGGTCGCTTCGGTGACCCTGTCCATCGATCTCATCCTCTGTTGACCCCTTCTTTCCTCTTGCCTTCACACTTTCCCAACATCAGGGCCTTTTCCAGGGAGTCTTCTCTTCTCATGAGATGGCCAAAGTACTGGGGCCTCAGCTTCAGGATCTGTCCTTCCAGGGAGCACTCAGAATAAAAAGTAGGTTCCCATAAAAGTTGAAGAGGAGCCTTGGCCCTTTAGCCAGACCACTAAGGGCCAGGATCAGTGGTGAAGCTCGCTTCGTTTGTGGCTGCCTGGTGGCAGTCTCAACCTTTTCCTGCTGGAAGGTCTGTGAGGGGGCAAGAGCCACGAGCCCTTGGCTTAAGGCCCTGTGTCATGGCAGCTGTTCCAGAATCGGTGCCACCCGGTGTGCACAGAAACCCTTGTGAAAAATGGCCCTTTCAGGGTTTAAATGTTGAATGAATGGTCACCTGTAAGGGATGGTTAGCTGTGGATTTTCTGCTTTGACAGGAAACTGGACTAATAGACTCTGCAAGTCCCTTCCAGCTCTGCAAGTCTAATCAAATCTTCAGTTTTCCATCTTAAGGGTTGTTGGCTGCACGAGGAAATGAAAGTGTCAGTGCTCTTTCTCACGTGCTTCTTTGACATTTACTCCCCCCGGTTGTGGCATCTTTTTATCTTTGGCATCCTCAGATAATTTATACCTGAAAGGTATAAACAGAGATCCGGTGTGATCCTGGTGAAATTTGGGTCTGAGCTCCCCTAGGGCAGAAGCGATCAAGCAGGGGTGCCCTTGGCAAGGGAGAGCCTAAATGGACTTAGACCTGGTTTCCTCTCTGGAAGCAGCACACAAAATATTGCTTTGGTATGAAATGGCTGGACGTCTTGACCTGTTCAGTGGGTGACTTGAAAGGGATGACATTTTGGTCCTTGCCCAGTGGTTCTCTGCTCCTCCTTGGGCGTAGGTCTCTAAAAATTTTAGCTAGCAGAAGGGATCTTTTCACTGGAGGTGGCAAAAATTGAACCTGGTGTGTTGTCCCTGCAGAGCATCTGCTGAGCTTCTAACCCTTCCGGATCTTTCCTTCCATGGGAAATAACACATCTTTCCCACAATATGGCAGGAAAGGGGACGGGAAAACTCTTCCTGTAGTACCCAGAGTGCATCCAGCTATTGCATCGGGTCCTGGAGAATGTGCAGCTTGCCTCTGCGTGGGCCACTTTCGAGTCGCTTTGTCACAGGGAAGGAGCAGAGACAGCAGCAGCAGTGTGAGTTTTTCCCCCCGTTACTACACGTCTGTTATTTATTGCAGTTGGTTCGGATCGCAAAGGTTCTGGGTACAGATGAATTATATGGTTATCTGAAGAAGTACCACATAGAACTGGACCCCCACTTCAATGACATCTTGGGACAGTAAGTTCATTGGTCCTGGAGAATGTGCAGCTTGCCTCTGCCGGGCCCCTTCCTCTTACCCCTTGCGTGGGCCACTTTCGAGTCGCTTTGTCACAGGGAAGGAGCAGAGACAGCAGCAGCAGTGTGAGTTTTTCCCCCCGTTACTACACGTCTGTTATTTATTGCAGTTGGTTCGGATCGCAAAGGTTCTGGGTACAGATGAATTATATGGTTATCTGAAGAAGTACCACATAGAACTGGACCCCCACTTCAATGACATCTTGGGACAGTAAGTTCATTGTGGCATCTTTGTTGTGTTGCTGGGGTGGGGACACCTTACATAAGCAACAGGGTGTCTTCACTCTATGTGTGCTAGAAAAAAAAATCCAAGCATGGTAGTTTGGATGGCAGGGCATTCTGGCATCTCATTTTGTGAGAGAGGTGGGTACAAAGGATCCAGATTCAATCCCTGGCATGTCCCATGAAATATCCGCAAAGTACATCTCTAAAAAAAAAACACCCAGTCGTATCAGGAGTAAGTGGTTTTAAAGGCAGCGGGAAGGGGGGGGAAGGTCAAGAAGAGAAGGGGGGAGGTCAGCCAGATCCTTTTTTCTGCTATAACATTTTAGATAATTGATGATTCCCTGGTTCTGACCCTCAAGTGCATGCATCTAGTTTGACCTTTAACAGCTGCACGCTCGCTTTCCATACAGCTTACATTCAAAGTGTGTAAATTAAGAAGTGTTCAGGGGCACAAACATCCCCCCGGTTATGTCTTCATATCCCTGTGTGGCAGATGCCATCTGAAGACTTGGACAGACTAAAATACTTGGGAACTCTGAGGGTGTATTCACAGTAAACTCCATGGATTGTTTTTTTAAAAAGTTGAAAAGTATGAATTTTATTTATTTTTGCAGAAGAGGGATGGCGGTTGTTAGTGTGTCACAGTAGAGCCAGCAAAGAGTCTTGAAAATTCACAACTTTTTGTTTCCTTGTTTTTGTGTGTGGGGCATTCAATGTAAGCTTTTGTAGCTTGTTACCCAATTGCATCTGGAGAAGGTGGGCTGCGGTCCACGAAACGTATGCCAAATGGAACTTAGTTACCTTCAGGGATTTTACACTATATGTGTGATTCAGTTGCAAAGAAATATACTTAATTAATTTGGTGCTGTCAGGTTGATTCCGATTTATGGCGACGTTCCTCCAGGTCTCCTAGGAATCAAGTACTCAGGAGTAGCTTACCCGTGATGGTAATACATACTAGGAAGTAACATAAAAGTAATATATTTAGGTCAAATGAAATAGTATTACAGGGAGGAGGAGTCCAGACTTTTCTGTTATATGATGGAATTTGTCAGCAGAGATAGATTCTGTTAGCAAAAAAATACATTCACTCCTTTTTTAACCCAGAGGAACACTCTTATCTGGTAGGTTTAAAAAGGGAAGTGAAGAAAATCTGCTGAAAGAGATTTTAAATCTAACATGCCAAGTAATTGACTATAAATTGGATTGCTATAAGCAGAATTTCCCTCCATTAGTGCTAGGAAGAATGAGAAAGCTGTGGGTTTGCATTTCAGTGTCAACTTACTAATTTGCGGACCCAGACCGAATGCAAAGCAGGACATGCTTTCCGAGGTTTGATAGACTTGTACATCTGTGGTTGTAGTTATGCCTTCAGGAGGTGTGGTATGAAACTTGACAGTCTCTCTTCTGCATTCTTCAGGCTTCAGTTCCCCAAACTAACTTCTCTTCCCTGCTTGTAGACATTCACGGAAGCGTTGGGAGAACTTCATCCATAGCGAAAACAGACACCTCGTCAGCCCTGAAGTCTTGGACCTTCTGGACAAACTTCTGCGATACGACCATCAACAGAGGTTGACTGCCAAAGAAGCGATGGAGCACCCTTATTTCTGTAAGTCGTTTGGTTGGCGCAGAATGTCCAATGGAACTGAGCAGGAAAGTCAGGGCGTTTGTTCACTAGTTAGCCTTCTCAAAGCTTTGGCTGAAGGTTTTGAAGACGTTACACTCACAGGGTGGTGAACACAGGAAATCAAAGACCTTGCACACCTTTGTCCTTCAAAAACAACTAAGAAACAAAAAAGCCCTTGAGGTACATTGAAAGTCAGTGCAATTTTGTTCTTGTAAGGTGCCACAAAACTGGGTTGCTACAACCATCAAACATCAGCTAACACTGAAATTAAGGTTCAGGAATATGGGGGCAAAAACCTTGTGAACTTCGGCAGAAACCTTTAAGAAATAGCTTGTTGGCATTAGAGGCGGCAACCTCAATTTTGGAAAATGCTAATTTTTCTAAAAGTGCCCTAGGTGAGGTTTAATGGTGGCTGTTTAATTAAAACTGTATTTTGAAATGTTTGTTGCCTTTGGAGAAGTTCTGAAGTTTCTATTTTCTCCATTCCTGCCTGAGTTCAAGGTCTTTGCGGTTTGTAGGCATTTTCTACTTCTCCACTCCATTAGATCAGTGCCCTTAGAAATTCCTACAGGATTTGCTGAAGCACCCTGCTTGCTTAGTATGTTTGCAGGAAGAAACCTTGTAGGCGTGGAAATTCCACCCCTCCCGTCAAATGTGTAAAGAGTGCTTTGCTTCAGCAGGTAATGTCAGACCAGTTCCTGCAGTAAATCTTGGAAGGAAAATCCCCTCCAGGACTTGGAGTGAGTCCAGTGGGGAGTGAAGGTCAGCCACCCACCGGAAAGTATAGGCAAATCCTGTCTGGGAGGAGGCCCGGGTAACGGGGCCGTTGTGGGCAATGCAAGCATGCTCAGCCAGGGCTCCCTTAGATGGAGTCCTGAGGACAAGGGGGTGGAAGCAAAGTGGAGTGGGGAAAATATTAAAGCTGGCTTCAAGCAAAGGGACCTGCAGTTTCTTGAACTGGGTGTCAGAGATTATGCAGAAAGGTGGTCTCTATGCATCAGGATCTGGAGCTGCCCCACGTTTTATTGGCTGGCTTGAGTGTCTGTGCCTTTTCTCTGGGCTCATTTACTTGGATACCAGGCGACTAAGCAAAATATATGAGCCGTTGCAAAGAAGGGCAGGACAAGACATTGGCTGAAATGAGGGTTAACTAATTCATTGTTTTATTGATTATGTATTTGTTTGTATCATTTATGGGCCTCCTTTTTCCTGGTGAGAGGAGACCCAAGGTAGCCTGATAAAGCTGAAACAAGTGATAGTGAAAGCATAGTAAATTAAAGGTTTTAAAAAAAAAAAACAATAAAACTTGCAATAATAATTAAAACTCCACTGATTAATTTAAAAGCATTAAAAAATTAAAACACTCTTAGAAAAACAATTCCCCCCCCCCCGACAAAACTAAGGTCAAGTCGGGCCTCCCTGGCCCCAGATTGCTGTGCGTGAGCATCTCCTGAAAGAAGTGAAGATGGGAAGGCTGGCATCAGGCGGGTCTCCCTCTTGACCTCATGTCTAGGATTGCCCTCTGTCTCAGCTTTCCCCGGGTTGTTCCCTTGAGAAAGGTCTGTCATTTTGGTCTCTTCTCTGCTTCCTGCAGATCCAGTCGTGAAGGAACAGGCCCAGCCCACGTCCGACAGCCCCGTGCTCTCCAGCAGCTTGACAGCGGCACGATGAAGTTTGAGGAATGACGGGTAATTCCAGAGGTTTACAAATACAAACACGCACCCTTCAGTCACCTAGGGAAGGGATGAACCCAACCCCTGTATACTCAGCAGAAGCCTCGTCTGGAGGGGGGCTAGGACTTAGCCTCCCCTCTTTCCAGCACTGACGGCTACCCCAACTTTCTTTGTGTGTTACCAAAGTCGTGATCCAAACGGTTGCACAAGATTTACAAGGATTCAAGGGTGTCACCCAAGGTCTGCGCAGTTGGCTCGGGGTTGATTCTGCAGTCTCCTCCTCTGCCTGTCCTCTCTGGCCATTTCCCCCCTTCCTCCACTGGGCAGCCTTCGGGTCTCTTCCCTTCCCACACCCTCTAGAATGCAGCATGCACCCCATAGAAACAAGCCCTCTACTTCGTGAAAGCCTGTAAGCAACGGGTGGCGCCCTCTCTCTGGACGACTGGTTTTTGGCCCCTGGTTGGTTTGTTCATTCCCTTCAGTTTATAAAGCAAATCTTGTAAATGGTTGGAGTCAGACAAGCAGATAACTTTCAAAACCCACTCAACAGGCAGCCATTGGGGAGAATCCCCCACCCCTCCACCCCACTTTCCACGTGGGGCAGTGCCTGCCTTAGCAAGAGAAAGGATGGTTCTTTGAGGCAGAAAGAGCGTGTCCTCGGAAGCACATTCTCATTGCTAGGAAAGCCAACGTGGCCATTCCCCTCAGGTTCCCCATGCCGATCTGGAATTGCTATAAAAACAGCAGCTCTGAATGTGTGAAGAAGAAGCAAAGAGGAAGCATGCAGGCAAGAGGATCCATTGGGAATCTTGGAAGCCAGAAATAGTGGGGCTGTTTCAGAATTGGTCTGCAGCGACCTGACGAAGGGTCAGCTCCCTTTTTTACACACTCAGCCCACGGTTGGAGTAGAATCCTCTCCTTTTGGGGATGTGTGTGTTAGATGTTCCTTTTGTTTTTCCATTGGGTGGAAACAATCCCCAGAGTTCAACCCCACCTTTTTTTTGGGAGGGGGTTTATATTTTGTGATTCTGGTGACTTCATAAACCTAAATCTACATGTTTTAGTCACCACACATAAATGCAGATTTTTTCTTTCTTTCTATTGCATTGTCAAATATTTAATTTTAAGTAACAAGGTTAGACAGTTTCTGTTTGAAGCATCTGTTTACATTCCACATCCCGGTAACAACATGTTAGCATTGATATCAGGTCAGACCCATTTGTACAATTCACTGGAACCAATAAATCTCTCTGTGTACAAACGTGTTGTCCTGGAAATTCTTTGGAAAGAAAAGTTGACTCAGGGGCTGAAGTCTCCCCTTCATCTTTAAATCTTATATTGCTCAGTAGAGTGTTGGATGTGGAAGACAAGAGTTTGAGTCATGAGTCTGTGGGTGACTGGGTAGGAAAATACACTCCAGTTTGATCACAGTTTGACACCATGTTTCACAGATTTTATAATGGGAGTAATTCTCAAAGGCTCCATATGCCTAAGAGCTGGGTTACTACTCAGCTATAATGCACCTACTTGCTTTCTTGAGATGCATCCAACAGGGATTGGATTTGATGATCAGTAGAGTCCCTTCCTGCACTGCAGTTCTAAGATGATGAGGATGGTTAGCGTTTCCTTTCTCTCCACTTCATAGACTGCTTTCAAGCTAAAGTTTGTGCCGGACAGCTTTTCTTACTGCTGGTTATCACCTAATTGTTTCCATTAGATAAAACACATAACCTGAAGATATAATGTGAAAATATATTCAGGACCTTGCAGATGGTGTTTCAGTTTGCAAAAGGAAGGTTTAGATCTTCCTTTTTTGCTTCTCATCATGCTATCCTAATTGTCACTCATTCTCTACGCCACGCATCTCATGCCACTTTATTATTTTGGACGTTGGGGAGCCCTTTCTTTTGGGGAAAAGAAAAAAGACAGTAAGCTCAGATTTATGGTCAAACAGGAGTAAGGATGTGCAGCTTTATTGATAGCAGAAAACAGTTTGTGTATAAAAGCTTGTTTTCTTGGAACGGAACAATTTATATATTTCAATGACGAAAGTTCAAAGGTGTGAATCCTGTAGAGGTTTTGCACACTGCTATACACAATCTCAACTTTATTGATCTATGTGGTTTCCAAAGTCCCTGGTTTGAATATGCATGTTCCCTTAACTTGGTTTTACTTCAAGAAAAGTAAGTGCTGCATAATTTAATTGGCAAAATATGAGTCGTTTGCTTCTTAGGAGGAAGGAGGCTATTGCCAGACTTTGGCTTGCAGCATCAACCTTATCTAAAACCTGTCAAAAGAACAGATTTTTATGAAGCACCTGCTTCACTTCTTTAGTTCTTGGGCCCACAGATGTTTTCAGCCTTGAATAAGATTTTGCAGTGCCTGTGACCAACTACGGGCATGGCTCATTTCTTTTCTGAAAATGTGGTGATTGGTGCGGTTATATATTTGCACAGTAACTAAAATAAGATTTATGGAGTACTTCCAAATATATGTTAAAATGAATGTATAATTTCTCACATTTGCTCCAAAAGGTTGGTTGGTATTGTTAGCCTTGAATTTCAAATGAAGGGTGAAGGAAGGGGGAGAAAAATTAGTAGAGGTGAAACTTGAGCCGAGCACTGACACTGGACAGGCAGAGTGCGCCATTAGAAAGAGCAGGGGCAGTCGTGTTGGGGAGGTGTTCTCATTTCATACCAGGTCTGTGGCATTTATTACCCTCTGAAATCACTAATGCCCATCCCAGTGAAATCTGGCTGCAAGGGCCTTGCCTCCTACCTCTCAGGGGTGTTTTTGTTTTGCCTTACTTGTTTCTCTTTCACTCAGTGACAGATTGCCTTTTAGGGCCACAACATGCGACATTATGCCCCAGTACATCTATGGTAGTTTGCCAGACAATGGCATGCTGTGCTGGGATGTCATGAGCCTGTCTATCTCCTCCTGCCCATTACTGTGCTGGCCATATCTCAGTGGTTGTCCAATAGTTATTTATTTGCTAGTCTAAGCGCTTCACAACATAATAAAGCAAGCAAACAAATGACAATGAACATATAAACTAAACAGTGAAAAGATTAAAACCAATTGACATGGAAAGGACCTTATCTCTCTTAAGTACAGGGCAAGAGGTGTGACATCAAGCAGGGTCCTTGTGGAAGACCTTCCTACAAAGCAGTGTTTTGAGCTGCCTTCTCAGAGTGAAGGGAATAATGTTTGACGCTGTTCAGATTCGTGGGTGGGTGGGAAGGAAATAAGGGAAGAACGTGATGGAGGTGTTATAAAATTATGCAGGGTACAGAAGACTAGAACCCAATCTAGTCATCAACTGAGTGGTGGGAGATTCCAGAGAAAGAAAAGGAAGTTCTGTATATAAAAATTTGGATTTGCTATTGCAAGGGACAGCCCTCAATGTGGATAACTTCAGAAGAGGACAGCAAACTCAGAGAAGGTGATGCATACGGTTGGTCACTTTGCTAGTTTTGACCTATAAAGCCCGATACAATTTGGTTCCAGGCTGTCTGGAAGGACTGTATCTCTCATTTGCATCCTGTGGTGAATTCCAGAATTGTTTTGGTGGCCAAAAGGGCTCCCTTTTTATTTGTTGTTGTTTTCATTAACAGTTGATGGTGTGAATCAGCGCTGTACAGTACAGTATATGGTATTGTCAAGCCGAATGTAGCCCGCCAGCCTGCAAGGTGGCCTGTCAGCCCATGTGGGCGACCCCACTGTCTTTTTTGCCTTTTCATGCTTTCTCCGCCTCTGGCAAGGGTCAAAATCAAGAGGCTGGCCAAACAAACTCCTGGTGAGCCACCCCTTTCCTGACTAGTGGGCTGCATTCACTTTGAGGCATTGCATGCCTTGTCTGTCCAGATCTGTGGCAGGGCTTGGCCAATGCAGATCCGTGGTCCCATGTGTCCAGCTGCCTTCAGCCCTTATTTATTGTACTAATTGTTTTGGCTTTGCGGCACCTTCCAACCCTGGCTTTGCATTTGATGCTTGCTTCCCGTCTCTCCCTAGGTCTCTCTGATGCTGTCCCTCCCAATTTTCCATAAGCAGAACAAGAACCAGATCAAACGTCTTAACCCGCTTGTGTACAGCGACGGTGGTGTGCACCTTCCAGATGTCCTCCCAGCGGCAGGTTGTGGGAACAGGGCGGCGGCACCAGCAGCACCACCCCGATGATATAAAAACACAAACCCTAATTTCCGCGTCAGATTTCCTGTTGACCTCTTCCTCACCAGGAGAGCCTAGAGAAGGTGACGGGTATGCAGAATGATTGTTGGCTTAGGTGGCTTCCCAGAACACAGCCCAGCTTGGACCCTTTCCAACCAACTGGCTCTTATCCTGCAGGCTGGAGGAGGAGAGGAGGGAGGCTCTGTGGCATGATGGACAGTTCTATATTAAAAATATTATATATTATTGAATAAAAGTTTTAAAAGAAGTGTATGGAGAGTCTTAAGGATGGGCAAATGATAGAATTACAGAGATGGAAGGGAACCCGAGGGTTGTTGAATACAACCTCCAGGCATGGAGCAACATTGAGTAGACGTAGACCACTTGAGCATGTCCTCCATTGATCCCTTCTGCCTAGCCTCCAGGGAGTAGGCCCTCTTTGTAAGGAGAGGCGTTCAAAAAGAGCTGTGAAGGTTCTTATGAATTCCTTCATAGGTCCCAATAAAAAGATTCAGGTACAGAGCCGTCATCTCCCTGGAATTGCTGCCTGATCACCATTGTTCTAGTCAGTAGGACATTTGGAGAGTAGTATCTTGAGAATAGGGTATCTGAAAAAAATGTCATCTGAAGCAGCAAGCCAAAGAAAAAAGGGAAGGAAGTGAGAGAGAGAGAGAGAGAGAAAAGATGGGGACAGGAGGGGGGCTTCTTATATTAACTTCCCAACACAGCTACCCCTGCACTCCGCCTGAGTGGTGGATTTTCTTAGAGCCTCATAGGTTCCGATGGGCGGCTTTTTTCAAAATGGGTTGCCCTATCAAGAGGTCAGGTGGCCATGTGCACAAGGGAACAAGAGAGAATGGGAGGGAATATATAACAGACATTTGTGCAAGAGTGGAGTTTGGGAGCTGCTTCGGTCCCACCGGTAGTGGCCGTCCAGAGCCCAAGAGATTCATGGGGACAAGGTGCAGAAGAGCAGAAGGCCTCTCACACCAGCTCTCCACCACAACACCCATCACCCAACCATTAGTACTTCTGCCTTCTCTGAAACCTGTCCCAAGAGCTCAGAAATGTCTTTTTTGTTTTTTAACTACTATTGCTGACTGGCCGGGGGATTCTGGGAGTCATAATCCACAGAAAGAATACAGTATGTCTATGCTCCGATCTACCCTATGTACTAGCCACACTTTTTGGCAGCCTTTCTCTAGGGCTTGATGTGCAGATCTTCCCATGAGATGCCAGAGATGGACCTTTGTATCACAAATCACTGCTGAGTCCTCAGGCCAGACCTCGATAAAGCTTCATCCAGGGGTTTCACCTCAATCAGGGGTTGGCAACGTTGTGCTTTCCAGATGTTTTGATCCACCCCGGCCAATATGGCCGAGGGACAGGGATGGTAATCCAGAGCATCTCGAGGGCATGTCTAGGTGTCAAAGCAGAAAGGATGGAACCCTGTGGCATCGCATGAGCTGTTGTTCAGTGGGGCAGGAATACTTCAGGGGCCCTAAGAGCTGCCTGCAAGCCAGGCACATGCCCTGACGTTTCCAGGTGGCACTGAAGCTCATACTTCCCGTGTCCAACTCCTGACCCAAGTTGATCAATCAAAGCATTTTTTTTGTCCCATGTTCCACATAAATCCGTGGTTTGGAAAGTTTGAAGGCTGTTTTGATTCTACCTGGCAAAGCGCCTTGTGTAAAAATGGAATACTTCATACCCAGTAGCAATGATGTAAATCAAATAAAAAATAAAGTCCGGTGAGCCTCCACAGCTGCCTGTACCACAGCTGGAACATTACTTTGTGTGGATGAGAGACGCTGAGTGTAGGGGTGTCTCGCATTAGCCAATGCCTATGTTGTTGAGGTGTTTATATAATAAAACAGTCTGGAAGCTGACTACTGTATCCATGTTCATAGTGCAGCGGGCAGTTTCGCTGCCCTTGCCCTGGACTCCTATAGAGTAGTATTTTGCTCCCTGGAGATAAAGGACCTTGCAGTCCAGCAGGGCTCTCCCTTGCCCCATGGTTGCCACTTTTGGGGAGTTCGTGGCCCATGGCCTCCGGGACCTTCCCTGACCCCAAGAACGGTCGTGTGTACTCCGAGTAGAGAGGCAACTCTCCTGCTCCGTGTCTGAGGCGGTGGGGGTGGGGGTGGTTATGTGGAGGTGACCCACAAGGGCATAAAGCGGTGGGGCTCCTTCAGGGGCCACAACAACGCCTTTTTTATGTACTGTATTTGTGTTCCACGTAAAAAGAGCCTGTGAAGTCCCACTTCAAGGGTGTTTTAATGGTCCAGGAGGCTCGTCATTCCCCCTCAGGGAGAAGCGCGGGGAAACGTAGGCCTCAGCCTCCTTCCGGCCTCCCGGTTGCCGTGGCAACGCGCGCGCGCGCCTCCACAACACACGGGCTCCCCAGGCGCCGGCCCTGTCGGGAAAGTAGTCCGTCCCTTGGCGACGGGGGCGGGGCCTATCCGCCGGCCGACCTCTGGAGCTCCGACTGGGTTGCGCGCGGGCGGGCGGAGCGCTCCTCTCTTGCGCGGGGGTCGGAGGACGCCTCGTGTCCTTCCGCCGAGGGCGCCTCAGCTGCAGGCGAGAGCGGCGCGTCGGGAGCCTGAGGCGGGAGACCTTCCACCGCGGCCCGCCCGGCCTCCTCCCGGCGCGGCGGGATGTTCAAGAACACCTTCCAGAGCGGCTTCCTCTCCGTCCTCTACAGCATCGGGAGCAAGCCGCTGCAGATCTGGGACAAGAAGGTGCCTCCGGGCCGGGAGGGAGGGAGGGAAGGAGGGAGCCAGCCAGCCAGCCGGGCCCCCGTCATGCCGGGGTGCCGCCTCACTCCCCCACGCCCGGGGAGGGGGGCCTGGAGGCCGCTCGGAGGCCTCGGGACGGGGCCCGGAGGAGGCCTCGGGACCCGTCCGTGGTGGTGGTGGTGGCCTCCGGGCCGGGAAGGAGGGAGGGAGCCAGCCAGCCGGGCCCCCGTCAGGCCGGGGAGCCGCCTCCCTCCCCCACGCCCGGGGAGGGGGGGAGCCTGGAGGCCGCTCGGAGGCCTCGAGACCCGTCCGTGGCAGGAAGGGAGGGACGCCGTCGGTAGCAGGCCTGGGACTCCCTCCCGGCCTTCCAAGCCCCCTCAGGGCCTTCGTCTCCGGCCTTCCTTGCCCTGGGTCGCCCGACCTGACTGAGCGAAGGGGGCTGGGCTCCGAGGGGGGGGGGAAAGGGAACGGGGACTCGGGTCGAAGAAGGGCCCCCTCGAGGGACAGGGGAGAACGAGAGGCGGG